TGCTGCTCTACTCTTACTGGAGAAAAACATTTTTTTCTTTCAACACGAATTTCCAACATAACTTCTTTTGCACCATTTTTAAAGAGAATACTTCTCAGCATCAAATAAAAAGTCTATAAGTCTAAAGTATATATTTTTACTACAGGCCAATTCTTTTTTACTGACACACTGCAAACAAGCTGTGAATCATGCTCTGTGAGATTTTCTGTTGCAGGGTTTCTTACCTAAAACGGTGAGTTTAGTTCCAGCTCCAAAGTAAGCTTCCCTGTTCGAGCACAGAGACTCTCAACTGTAACAAAACCTCTTCCCACTGCCTCTCTTTATCTGAGCCTCTTTGAAATTATTCCAGCTTTGTCCCTCTTTGACATGTAAAGACTTTAACTTAGAGTTTACAAAATAGTCAAATCCTCCTAGACTTGTTTTTACCATTTAAACATCTACTCATATTTTTGTGGTTATTTTATGGTTATTGAATCTAGTAATTGGTGGTTAGGAGTCGTTTAAGCTTTAAAGTATCTTAACAGTATCAAAAACATCTTAACCAAGTCATACCTGAACAATATTTAAAGCACTTAAACATATTTCTTACCCAAAACGGTTAACTTTGTTCCTCCACCAAAGTAAGCTTCTGAAGAACCACCAGAGTCACAGTGCACTTGATCAGTGCTCAAAACGGCCCAACATGCTGCTTTTACTCTGCTGCTTTAGTTTCTAACTTTTCAATAAATTTAACTTTTCTTTAAAACCAAAAACTACAGCCTGTTGTATGCAGTACAAACCTCTCAGTTACCAATGTGATTGTCTTTATTTTAACTTACCAAGAACAGTCAGTTTGGTGCCTTGGCCTAAATAAGCTTCGTCCCGACACAGTGTTTAAGCTTAAGAACAAAAACCTCTGAGCTGAACTTTACTTGGACTTGACTGCAGCAGGTTTCTTAAATGAACAATATAATTGCAACGCTTTTTTAAATTTGTTTGATTTCTTACCTAGAACAGTCAACTTTGTTCCTCCACCGAAGTAAGCTTCATAACTACCAGAGGCACAGTGCACTTGATCAGTGCTCTAAACAGCCCAACATGCTGCTTTTCCTCTACTGCTTTAGTTTCTAACTTTTCAATAAATGTAAGTTTCCTTTAAAACCAAAAACTACAGTCTGTTTTGGAGGTATATGCAGAAAAACACTCTAGTTTACCACACGTCGATTGTCTTCTTTTGTAACTTACAAAGAACAGTCAGTTTGGTGCCTTGGCCAAAATAAGCTTCGTTCAGACACAGCCTCTAAGCTAAACTTTAACTGGACTTGACTGCAGTAGGTTTCTTAAATAGACTGTAATTGCAATGAACACTGTTGTTTGATTTCTTACCTAAAACTGTTAACTTTGTTCCTCCACCGAAGAAAGCTTCATAACCACCAGTGGCACAGTGCACTTGATCAGTGCTCAAAACAGCCCATCATGCTTTTACTCTGCTGCTTTAGTTTCTAGTTCTTCAATAAATATAACTGTCCTCTCAAACCAAAAACTACAGCCTGTTTTTTTACAAGTCGTATGCAGTAAAAACCTCTTAGTTACCACAGTGATTGTCTTTATTTTAACTTACCAAGAACAGTCAGTTTGGTGCCTTGGCCGAAATAAGCTTCGTTCTGACACAGCGTTTAATCTTAGGAACAAAAACCTCTGAACTACCTAACTCTGAGCAAATTGACTGGACTTGAAGGCAATACATTCCTTAAATAGAGTGTAATTACAATGCTTTTTAAAATGTGTTTGATTTCTTACCTAAAACAGTTAACTTTGTTCCTCCACCAAAGTAAGCCTCTGAACCACCACCAGAGTCACAGTGCACTTGATCAGTGCTCAAAACAGCCCAACATGCTGCTTTTACTCTGCTGATTTAGTTTCTAGCTTTTCAATAAATGTAACTTTCCTTTAAAACCAAAAACTACAGCCTATTTTTTACAAGTTGAATGCAATACAAACCTCTCATATACCACAGTGACTTGGCTTTATGTCAACTTACCAAGAACAGTCAGTTTGGTGCCTTGGCCGAAATAAGCTTCTCCCTGACACAGCGTTTAAGCTTAAGAACAAAAACCTCTGAGCTTAACTTTAACTGGACATGAGACTGGATTTCTTACCTAAAACTGTTAACTTGGTTCCTCCACCGAAGTAAGCTTCTGAAGCACCAGTGTCACAGTGCACTTGAACAGTGCTAAAAACAGCCCAACATGCTACGTTTACTCTACTGCTTTACTTTTTGGTTGCTTTTAAGTATTTATTGTATTAAATGTCACTTTTCTCTCAATCCGACACCAACATTTCCAACTCCAACAGTCTGGATTTTACAAGTTTAATGTAACACAAAACTATTTCCTTCAACAACTAACCTGCTTGTCTGTGTTTTACTTATCTTATGGTTGAATTAATCAGAAGAAACTTTGATGTTTTACTCACCAAGAACAGTCAGTTTTGTTCCTTGCCCGAAGTAAGCTTCGTACTGACACAGCGTTTAATCATAAGAACAAAAACCTCTGAGCTGAACTTGAGTGCAGTAAGTTTCTTAAATAAAGACTAATATACAATACAATTGCAATGCTTTTTAAAATGTGTTTGACTTCTTACCTAAAACAGTTAACTTTGTTCCTCCACCGAAGTAAGCTTCTCCACCACCAGAGTCACAGTGCACTTAATCAGTGCTCAAAACAGCCCAACATGCTGCTTTTACTTTTTTAACTTTATATTTACTTTATTGTATTAAATCTCACTTTTCTCTAAATCCAACACCAACATTTGCTGCACTGCAGTCTGGATTTTACTAGTTTAAAGTAACACAAAACAGTTTTCATCAACAACTAACCTGCTTGTCTGTGTTTTACTTCTCTTACAGTTGAATTAATCAGAAGAAAGTTTATTGTCTTACTTACCAAGAACAGTCAGTTTTGTTCCCTGCCCGAAATAGGCTTCGTAATTGGCACAGCGCTTTGGCTTAATATCAAAAAGCACTGAGCTGAACTTAAACTATGAAGATCCAAGAACATTATGATTCTTAGTGCACTACTCCAATTACAAAGCTTATCGTACTTGTTAAATTTTAATCTTCCTGGACTTACCTAAAACAGTCAGTTTTGTTCCTTTTCCAAAGTAAGCTTCATTTCCAGAGTCACAGTGCAGAAATACTGAGCATGAAACCCCTGTCTTTCTTTAGCAGAATGATCTATGGACAGTTTTAACTAATACTTCTGTTTCTACTAGTACTCTAAAGCAACGTGACATCTACCAAAATACAGTAATAAAGTGAAATATTTACCTAAAACTGTCAGTTTGGTTCCTTGGCCAAAGTAAGCAGGATTAGTGTTGCTCACAGTGTTTTTACGTCAGCTCAATAATTCAGCTTTTTTATAACAGCTATTTTCCTCCACTTTCAAGCCAATGTTTTGAATATTTTAAGTTTGTTGCAGTGAACTGAAGTTTTAAAAGGAGCTTCGACTTACCCAAAACAGTGAGTTTTGTTCCTTTTCCAAAGTAAGCTTCGGCATTGTCACAGTGCAGAATTACTGAGCATAAAACTCTTGGATCTTTCTCAACCAGAATTATCTTTGGAACATATTTTACAAATACTTATATTTCTACTAGAACTCTAAAGCAACGTGACATCTGTCAAAATACAGTAATAAATAGAAATATTTACCTAAAACTGTCAGTTTTGTTCCTTGGCCAAAGTAAGCAGGATCAGTGTAGGTCACAGTGTTTCAACTTCAGCTCAATAATTCAGCTTTTTTTTAATACAGTTTTTTCCTCCACTTTCATACCAATGTTTCAACTATTTTAAGTTTGTTGCAGTGAACTAAAGTTTCAAAAGCTCTGACTTACCCAAAACAGTCAGTTTTGTTCCTTTTCCAAAATAAGCTTCAGTTCCAGAGTCACAGTGCAGAAATACTGAGCATGAAACTCCTGTCTTTCTTTAGCAGAATGATCTATGGACAGTTTTCTACAAATACATCTGTTTATACTAAAACTATAAAGCAATGTGACATCTATCAAAATATAGTAATAAAATGAAATATTTACCTAAAACCGTCAGTTTGGTTCCTTGGCCAAAGTAAGCAGGCTGAGTCTGGGTCACAGTGTTTTAACTTCAGCTCAATATTTCCGATTTTCATAACAGCTATTTTCCTTCACGTTCATACCAACCTTTCAACTATTTTAAGTTTGTTGCAGTGAACTAAAGTTACAAAAGCTCTGACTTACCCAAAACAGTCAGTTTTGTTCCTTTTCCAAAGTAAGCTTCGTTTGCATTGTCACAGTGCAGAAATACTGAGCATGAAACTCCTGTGTCTTTCTTTACCAGAATGATCTTTGGACAGTTTTAACTAATGCTTCTGTTAATACAAGTACTCGAAAGCAATGTGACATCTGTCAAAATACAGTAATACATTTTTATATTTACCTAAAACTGTCAGCTTGGTTCCTTGGCCAAAGTAAGCAGGCTCATTGTAGCTCACAGTGTTTCAACTTCAGTTCAATATTTCAGCTTTTTAATAATAACTATTTTCCTTCATGTTTATACCAACATTTCAACTATTTGAAGTTTGTTGCAGTGAACTGAAGTTACAAAAGCTTCTACTTACCCAAAACAGTGAGTTTTGTTCCTTTTCCAAAGTAAGCTTCAGATCCAGTGTCACACTGAATGTCTCCTCTACTAAAAAGTCACAAAACTTTCTATAATCATCATATTGAGATACAGTCTTATATTCCAGAGGATGAAGAAGCTTTAAACATGCAGGATGAGCTTCATAATGTCCAGAGTTGTTTTGTTCTTTGTCAAGTTCAGTAAAAGAAGCATTCAACTGCTCCATACCAACTAGAATACATTTTAAAAACCTTTTTCCTGCAGATTTCCAACATATACATTGACTTTTCAATGTCAGAATGTCCTGCCATCCTGCACACCTTCAGATTATTGATTTTTCTGCTCTAACAAGTGTCTCAGGTAGCATGTAGCTGTCTACACAATGGGAGTTAATGGCAGGAGGTTTTTGTACGGCGGCTCAATGAGTTTGTATCACTGTGGCCCCCTGTCCCCACGATGAAAAACCGTCATACAAAAACCTGAAGTCTCTTTCTCTCGCTCCTCTCCCCTTCCCCCACCCAGCTTCTCCATATCTCAGCCTCCATCTCTCTCTGTGTGTGAGAGCAGCTGCACAGGTCGGGCTGAACGAGCTCCAACCTGACTGCTGCTATTTCTGTGACAGCTAAGAAAAGAAGCAAGAACAAAGGGAAGGTAAAGATAAACTGGTCTTTGTTTGTGTTTGTTTGTCACTCCTCAGAGGAAGTGACATCTCTACTGGTCACACCTCTTGATCCTCCCAGTGATCGGTGAACTAAGGAGACACATTCACTGACTAACGTTTACTGAGAGATGTGACACTGTACGTGAACCATAAGCTGTTCATTTTTTATCCTAAGTTGGAGTAACAATCTTTAAAAAAAGACACTGTGCAAAATGTCCATTCAAAAATGATTTATTCCTTTAAAACAAATTATCACATCAAATGTATATGATGGAACTTAAGTTATTACAACATATCATTATTAAGATTATCAGATGGTGAAGATGCTGCAGGCATGACATCAATAGAAATTCTCCCTCATAACATCTGATATGGAAATATTTTCTCTCTCACCATTTTAAGGAGCTATTTAATTGCAGTTTTATTTAATTCATTCAATTAAGAGAATCCATACAGCTTTGCAAACTAGAAATGGTGGTAGAATATTTCTCCAATCTTAAGTAAATGTAGCAATGCCACAGTGTAGAAATGGAAATATAAGTACACGTTGCATTAGTTAAGTAAAGGTACACAAGTGTTAGCATCAAAGTATGACGTATCACCAAAAGTGAACACACTCTTTATGCAGAAAGACTCATGATAGAATCACATATATTATATTAATGGATCATAATTACAGATGCATCATTATGTAAGCATCACTTTAGTGTTGCAGCTGGTAAAGGTTGAGCTAATCTTAACTACAAACTCAATCTATAATAATATATCAACTGATCGGTCTGGAGTGAAGCTACAGGGCTGTATACAATGCAAACGAACTCGTACTTAAGTACACAAGCAAATGTACTTAGTTATATTCCACCACTGCAGATTAATTTACAGCTATACAGTAAATGTTCATATGTGACATTAGTGTATTCAGTGAATATTCTATTCGTTCCTATAAATAAATGTATTAAATTAGTAGTGCATAAAAGTGAATGCATGTTTTTTTAAAACCTACAACATAGTATGCTGTCTGTTGAGGTATTATGCTGTACATTTCCATGATTATTTAGCAGAATGATTTATAGTAGGCTGGGAGACTTGAACTACTTAATCTAAACTACAGTTTATACTACGTTGTAAGCATTTCTATGATAGTGCAGGTAAAGTGCAGTAGTTCTGCAGAGGTCACTTTTATGTAAATTGCACCTTATTAAGACCTTATTATTCAGTGTAATTTTTAAAAATATATATTTGGGGCCTTTTTAATCTTTATTAGACAGGACAGCTTTAGGAACTGACAGGAAAAGGGGAGAGAGGGGAGGCCTCTGCAAAAGGCCCACAGGTTGGATTTCAAACCCTGTTGACCACTGCATCAGAGGACTCAGCCTTGGAGCTTTTATTTTTAATACCATTTTAATACCAGTTTCATAAATGATTGGTTCCTATTTGACATATTATCCTAACTTCTAAAAAGCACAAGGTGATTTTTATTTTTAATCTAACTGTAATCCCACATGAACCCTGTAGAGGTCAGTGTATGACCTCTTAGACCTGATATACTTTCATATTGTCAGACTGCTCACAGAATTACAGTAAAATAAAGCAGCAGAGACTAAAACAGAGACACACATCAGACAAACTGTATTGGACAATAATACTGAATATGATGAGAAATCTTTACCAAGTTAACACCTGCTCTCTTATCTCAACTGATCAGCTTTGCGGTGTTGCTGCAGAGATATCATGACTTTTGGAGAGGCAGTTCTTGTACCTATAATAAATGAAAAATTCACCATTAAAAAAGTTTTCTTTCATATTTTTATGTCAGTTTGTTGTCGTATTCACAAAATCATACTCAGAGTCCCTCAAAGATCAAAAGAATAACTGTCCTCATTCATTCCTACTCCCTGTGTTCTCTTCCCGGTTTGAGGTTGTTTGTTCTTGAGGTTGTTGTTTAGCTGTTGAGGCTTTCTGAACCATTGTGCTCTACTAGACGCACAGTAATATACAGCCGAGTCTGCAGCTTTTACACTGTGTATCTGCAGAGAGGAATTGAGCAGCGTAGGCCGTGACATGGTGTACTTGGTCGTGTTGAAAGGAGCTTCAACCCTGCACGAACCTTTACTGAGAGAATATGATACTAGCTGCATATCACCACTGCTGCCTTGTCTGTACCAAAACATGTAGAAATATTGTTCATCATCTTGTTCACACTGCAAGGTTACAGCCGGGTCTCCTTCACGGCTGAATCCTAATGAAGGCTGGTGAACTTTCACACCAACAGAGGAACCTGAAAGTAAGAAAGTAAACTTTCAATGATGAAATCTGTAAAGGAAAAACGTATTAGATTTTTCTTTCTCAACTGAATTTAACTGTCCTTACTGATGCAGATGAGAACTGCAACCCAGAGCAGCTTCATTTTGATGATACTAAAATCAGACCCGTCTACATTCACAATAATAACTTTGCCTTCAGGATGAAAAGCTGCTGCTGGACCTCACTGAACAACTACAGACACATAAGATCTGCCTCTTCCTGTCTTCTCTGGTCTGACTTTTTCCAGAAAGTCTGAATGAGTTGTGCAGCTACAGTCTCCTAGTGGCCACTGAGCTGCAACTGCAGGTTAAAGTTCTCTCAAGAGCACTTACTGGTTTCTACAAGACTTTAGAGGAGAGTTTTTAGCTTCTATTAATATGAACTGCGAAGCTTTGACTATTCTGAATCCATATTACGATTGCTCCACTTCCATTATGGCAACTACAGTCTGACAGTTTAGTATCAAGCCAAATGAACCACAGCTCCTTCCTGCCTGTGTGCCATCTGTAACAGACTGTTATTTGTATGACTGCCTGGTCTGTATGCATCACTGTGACTGGCAGCACAGTAGTAGGTGCTGCTGTCGTTAGGGTACAGCTCAGTAATTTCAAGAAAGAAGCTGTTTTTGGATGTGTCGATCGATGACTGGAAGTGGCCCACAGTTTCATCGTACTCTTTGACGAGGAACTCCATTGCAGCTCCGTGGTGGTTTTGCCGGTACCAGAGCATGGTGTAACTGCTCATATCTAACCCTTGACCCATGCTGCACTTCATCGTCACTTTGACTCCTGAGTGAGAAATTTGATCTCCAGACTGAAGAACTACAACTGTTAGACCTGTGGCACATGAAGGATAAAGTTTGATCATGTCTCACCTCAATATACAGAACAATGAATCAACTGAGATGTGTACATTTGATGGGAACTGGACCCTTCAAGTACTGGTTAGCTAGTACATCCATTATGAGTTGATACACAAAAGCCCACCTGAGTGTAAAAGAAGCGATAGAGAAAGGATTGTGATAAGCATGTCAGCGATGAGCCTTCTTCCAGCTGAATGAGGCAGACAAACGCTCTGTTCAAAGGTAACACAAGGTCACAGGCTGCCATGATCACATGATTGGAGAGGAAGTACTGTATCATCGCCGATTATCAACCGACACTTCGAGGTGTATGGAAGCTCATTTTTGGTGAAGATCAGAGCAGGTTTGAAGACCAATATGGAATCAGACATTTAATTGCATAAGTTCAATGCTGCAAGTGTCAAGCATTTAATGGTGACCCCAAATGTTATTTCTGTCATCTGAAACAGTATTTACATCAACATCAGACACTAAAGCTTTATACTGAAAGTATTTTAGTTGGGATGACACACCTCAATGATAAAAGAGAAACTACTTTATATAAATACCTAAGTATTTCATTTATAAGCAATACAAGTCAAAAATAAAATTTGAATTCCATACAATAACTGAAAAATATGATTGCATTATATTAACCAGTAAATGCCTCACAGTGATTCAACATACAACATAATAGAATATTAAATCTTTTCTTATCCTTACTACATCCTTACTTAGTGAATGCACATTATTCATCACAACATGAGCAGCTTTCATTACATTACAGTAACTGACAATCAGTTACTGTAACAGACAATAACTGACAATCAGTTACTGTAATTAAGAAACTCCCAGGATGTATTTAATGTATAATTTACTTTTATTTATATTTT